AGTCTTTGGTGATATGTTAGACTTTTTAATCCATGAACTGATTTAGATGCTCTTATAAGTATATTTTCAACTTGTCGTTTGTCTTTCAGTAGACAAGGGTTATATACAGAACCACAATATTCTAAATATGATCGTACTAGTGCTGAAAACAGTCTTTTAAAACAAAATGAATTTAGATAAGAGAAAGATCTTTTTATTAGAAATAGCATCTGCATTGCCCTATTAACTTGAGTAGAGGTATGTTTAGAAAATAGCAAGTTATTATCGATATGTACTCCAAGGTCAGTTTCTGAGTTGGTAGATTTGATATCAATCCTTGTTTTCTTCACTGGATCCTACATAGAATAGATAAGATGTTTATTTTTATGACCTAGGTGTAAAACTGAACATTTTTCTATATTAAATTTCATCCTCCATTTAGTTGCCCAGTCAACCAAGATATCAATATCATTTTGAAGTATGGTGTGTGAATGCAAATTAGTAATAGGGTAAAATATTTTTGTATCGTCAGCAAAAAGTGCTGCATTTGAAGTAATTATATTGGGAATATCGTTAACGTTTATAATGAATAATAGAGCTGAGAGAACAGAACCTTGGGGAACTCCACTTTTTACTGATACCCAATCAGAGTAATTACCATTTATCATTACTCTTTGTCTTCAATCTGTGAGAAAGTTTCTTATCCAAGAGAGAATTGGACCATTAATCCCATAGCCTTTTAGTTTCAAAAGAAGATAGTCATTTGGGACTTTGTCAAATGCTTTTTCAAAGTCAAGGTAAATATTATCGACAGGAAGACCTTTATCTAAATTAAGTGTCCATTGATTACAGTAAGAAGATTTGTTTCACAAGAGCGCCCTGGATAAAAACCGTGTTGACTAGGAGTTAGTAGATTATTTTTTAAAAGATGAATAAAAATATGTTTTTGTATTATTTTTTCAAATATTTTGACTATAGTGCATGTTAAACTAATGGGTCTATAGTTGGTAACTAGTTTCTTGTCTCCTTTTTTGAAAATTGGAATGATATTTGCATCTTTCCAGATTTGTGGTAATGTACTAGTTTGAAGTACCTTAGTATAAATAATAGAAAGATGTTTAGAGATTTGGTGATGGGTTTCTTTTAATATTTTGGGATGTATCTCATCTGGACCCGGTGATTTAAATGACTTTATAGACAGAAGATTAGATGCAATGTTTTCAGGAGATAGATCAAGATCATTAGAGATTTGACTGGGACAAACAGAAGATAAGTTAAAACTTGGAACAATCAATGTATCATTATCAGAAAAATTACTAGCAAAGTAATTATTGAAGCATTAAGCCTTTTCAAGATCGGTGGTAGCAACTATCTTATTGTGTACTATTTCAGGAATGAGATTTTTTATAAGATTTTTTGATTTTATGTATGAAAAAAAAGCTTTAGGATTTTTGTTGATGTTTTTAGCAATTTCTTTTTCAAAATTTATTATAGCATTTCTGCAAGCTGCTTTAGTTCTGTTACGCGCTCGACAATAGTCAAAGTAAGTTTTACCATTCCGTTTATGAATGTAGTCTTGATATTTAATTTGTTTATTTCTTATTTCTTCTGCTACTTGGGCGGTTATCCATTGAGAACGCTTTTTAGGTTTTGTTGAGGATTTTGGAACATTTTTTTAAATAGTGTTTTTAAGGTTTGTGTAGAATATATCCCAAAGTTGTTCTGAATTATAGTTTTGATTTAACACTAAGGTTGATAGATCTTTATTAATTTTATTATAGTTTCCTTTAGAGAATAATTGCTTATTAGTAGTATGAGTTGGTTTATCTATTGGATCGGTTAGTACGGTAAAGTATAAAAGGTGGTGATGACTTTTTCCAATTGGAGCAAGGTGGGTTATTGGTGAAATTATATTTTCCACGGATGTTATTATAAGATCGATAGTAGTTGGTTTTTGATTCTTTCTGAAGTGGGTTGGTTTAGATATATGTTGTGTGAGGAAACAATTGCGGATTGAATTTATGAATTTTAAAGATTTTGATGAGTGAGATATCGGGTTTTCTTTTTTGTTAGACCAAGTTATATCTGGGTAGTTAAAGTCTCCAACAATAAGGATGTTTTCGTATTTTTCAGAAAGATTAGTTATGTGTTGATTTATATAGTTATCATTTTCCTCATTGCTATTTGGAGATCTGTAGAATGTTGTTATTAGTAGCTTGTTATTAGTAGCTTGGCGTTTGTTTAAAATCGAATCAATGTTGGTTATTTAATTAAATTAATTTTAGTGATTTGTGTGAGCTTGTTACTTTTATCAGATTTGAAGCATTTATTGATTTGTTTAATATTATTTAATGTGTTTGCTAAAGTTGAGTTTAACAATTTTGTTGCGCCTGATGCACCATCGAAAGGGCGAGTTTGGTTCATTTTCTAAAAGCTGATGGTTTCTATTCTTTTTTTCTTTTCTTAATTCAAAATCTATTTGCCTTTCTGCTGGTGTCATATCCGGGTTTAAATAAACATTTTTATAGTTGTTGTTATTTCGTAATTCCCTAGACGCGAATAGAACTTTATTGCGTTCACAGTTTTCAGGAAGTACAGCAATAATTGGAGATGGATTTTTTGAAACTTTTTTTTTTTTAGCCTAATTAATTTAATCGGTTTTTCATTGCTTTTGCCAATGTAATCAAATATTTCATTGACCATTAATTTATCATCATTTATTGTATCTGATTCATCTATTTTACTCGATTCGGGAATTCCAAAGACTATGATACTATGATATTGTTTTCTCGCTTTTTTTTATTTTCCTGTTCTGATATTATTGAATTTGCGGTGGTGTTTACAACAAGTGATTTTTCCGTGGATGTAGTTTTCGTTGAAAATTTCGACCAAAAATTAGCAGATTCGTTTACTGTTGGTTGTTTAGATTCAAGAAATTCTATTCTTTTTATTAAATTTTTTATGGTTTCTTGCTGTTCTCGTACTATATCAGATAATTCTGAACAGCTAAGTTTTCCTTGTTTCAACATATCGTTTTATATGATATGTTGAAATATCGTTTTATATTTTGATGTTTTAACAATTTAAATGCAAAAAAAAGTGTTACGTTGTGAATAACCCTTAATTGTTGATCTTTTCTAAAGTTTTTATTTTAAGTGAAGGCTTTAAAATAAAACCATATAATTCTTTTTTTAATGATTGTTTACATAAACACATGTGTAAATTATTAAAAAATGTTATATATAATTTTTTTTTTATGTAGGAATGTATTTTTCATGATAAATTTAAACATTTGAAACAATTTTCCCATGTTTTTCTAAAAATCTTTTAAAATTTGAGAAATTTTTTTTAAAGTTTCTTTAATTTATGGATAAGTTCAAAACTTTTGCGACTACTAACTTTTACACATTTAGCTTTTAAATGCGAGTTATACAAGAATATAAAAAATAACTTATATAATAGTATTTAATACTTATATAAACATGTATTTTGTAATGTTCATAAGATTAATTTTTAAAATTAAACTAACAATTTTTTTAAATCTTTTAAAAACAAACATTTAATTTTTTGAATTTTTTTTTTTTTTTTTCAATTACAATAGGAATGAATGAGTTAAAATCATTTATAATATTTTTTGAATTTGTTACCTGAAGCGCTTATTAATAAAGTTGTAATGCTCAAATTAAAATTAAATTGCTTGTTGGCAGTTTATTTTATATAAATCGCAGGCACATTTATTTATTTTTTCCTATTTTTACGAATAAAAGAGTTGGAAACCTTTTTTTTTAACCAGACTTACTAATTAGAGCTCTAAGTTATTTTTTTAAATAATTTTTTTTTGCAACTTTTTTGAAAAAATAAATGTTTACAACTTAAAAATATTAAATACTTTTTAATAAATTTGATAAAATTTGTTCATTTATTAAATTTAGTAATTTGTCACTTAATTTAAAAGCGTTATGCGTAACTTTAATAAAACGTTTAAAAAGATTTATTTCAAACGTAATTAAAACGTGTTACGTTTTAATTACGTTTGAAAAGTTTCGCTTCGTGATTAAGTTTTTATTTTTAACTTTTATTTTAGTGCTTATACAATTTCTTTTTTGTAAATAATTTTTTTTCTTTAAGAATTTTTTTTTTGTCAGTTTTTTTTTGTTAACTTTTTTCCTAATTTAAGTTTAACTTAGCGTTTCTACATTCAGCACATTTTTGAATTTTTTTAATCATCAAAACATGTAAGCAATCGTGGTCGAGTTGTCAAGAAATAAAATCATTTGCGTGGTCAGCAATAGCGCTCGATCGCACGCCATTCCTGTTTAAGCCTGGTAAATTGTTGATATATAAAATGAATAAGATTAGAGAAATTACCCATCTTTGGGGAACACCACTTGTTATCATTTCCCATCCCAAACTTCATTGCCTTGTATCACTCTTTGGTGTAGATTAGTTAAAAAGTCACTAATCCAGTTATATATGGCATTTGATTTAAGTGTAACTTGAGACTTTAGTAAAGTCAAAATAAAAAAATACTGGAATGTTTTTTGCTAACGATTCACTCAAAAATTGTTTCAATTATATTTGTTAAACAAGATTTTCCTTTTACAAATCCATTTGACATATGTTTATATATTGTGTCGGATATAATAATTTCAAGTACTTTAGAGACTATTAAGGTTAATGAAATTGGTCTGTAGTTGCTAGCAATTAGCCTGTTCCCTTTTTTGAATATTGGGGTTATGTCTGCCAATTTCCATTCAATTGGTACTCTTTCAGTTTTGAGCCATTTTTCAACAATCATAGCAAGAGGTAAAGCAAAAATTTTACCATTAATTGTTTATACTGTTTTCTTTAAAATCGCATTACAGGTACATACTAATGCTTCCTGCATAAAGGTAAGTTTAACTTTGTAAAGTTGTTTAACACTCCTTGATTATAATGATGACTTTGATGGTGATAATCACAGATTATAATGATTGCAATGATATTTTTACATTTTGAATTGAAGATATTTAAAATTCTAGGGACGATGATGAAACAGTTCAAGAAGCTGACAATAAAAAAACAGAAGAAAATGAAAATGCTCACAAAAAAAAAGATAAAAAGAAGAAAGGAAAATCAATTGAAAGGTTTTTGAACATTTTGCAAAATTTTTCACATTTTTTAAAATAATTTTTTTTGTTTATTTTCTTTTTTTATGTTATTCTTTAATAAACTTTTTCTATTGTTATTTATTAAACTTTTTTCTATTAATTGTAAGAAATGTAAAAGTAAATAGTAAATTAGTTATTATAATTATATTTGAATTTCAATTATAGCAACTTTTAATGAATTATTATTTACTTTAATTATTATATTTTATTATAGATCAATTACTAAAATAGCAGAAATATTATTATTAAAAATTATTACTTAAGCAATTCTCTGTAAATTTTTATTTACAATGAAAATTTATGTGACTAGTGGCTCTTGTGTAGTGGTTCTTTTAAGTCCCATCTTAAAATTTAAATGAAATCAGAAATGGAAATTCAAGAGATAATAAAATGCAGTCATAAATTGCGGTTGGCCAAAGCCATTTAGTGATCTTGAAAGTATATTATTTGAATTTTTATATTTCTGGGTAAGAAATAGTTTCATGTTTTAAAACAATGTTTTAAAACATGAAATACAAAATAACCTGGTCAGACAAGTATTACTTTTGGTTATTTTTGTCAGGTTAAGTAAAGCTAATTTTACAATTGGCTGTAAAAAATGCTGTCTTTTAGGTTCGTTTATTTGCTTTTGAAGTTGATTAAAGTAGCAACAAGCTTTTATATTTACCTCATTTCTGTTTTTATTTTTGGCATATAACCATTAGTATATTTATCCTGTATTTGTATTACCTGGATTAAGGTAATACTAATTATATCTGTTTTATACAAATAATATTTAAAACATAGTAGTTGTGAGAGTCTTATAAAGGAGCTTTGATATTTTTGTTGCAGTAGATTTGTTGCTTTTTCTCCCACTGAAAAAAACACATTGGTTTTGCTAATCTGAAAATTTTTTAAATTAATTTGCCCCTTGCAATGTTTCTGCAAAACCTGACACTTTCATGCTTTAGTTTAACAAGCTAATTTTCTGCTAGAATACTCAATCTTCTTAAGTCCTCTTTTATATAATTCAAAATATGAAAACGTTTCTGCAATTAAGTTAATAAAGAAAAAATAATAGGGGAAAATGTTAAAATTAAAATCTTTGCTAAATATGTTGATACCACCTGATTCCTCTATATTAAGAGAAATCAAGTAGTATTGACAATGCTGATTTTAAAGTTTTAAGCAATATATGTTCCAGAAGTATTGTTGTTGGATTGATTCATTTTCTACAGTAACAGCAACTATAACCATCTCTACTTAAAAAACTGCACCTGTGATTACGGCTATTCTGTGTTCAGAGATGGCGTCACTCAAATTAAATTACTTTTGCCTGCCATGATAGTTCACAAACAACTTATGTTTGATTTTAGCATATGTGGCAATCTTTGTTAACTATACTTGAGTTTATCGTTTATCAATTTTTTAAAAAAATGGTCTTTTGTTGTATTTTAAATTGCAGTAATCGATCTGAAAACTGCAAGAAATCATTTTATCGAATTCCAAAGGTTATAAATCACCATGATAAAGATACTGAGCTGTTGTCAACAGAAAGAAGAGCAAAATGGTTTGCTGTTATAAAACGCAAACTTAACTGCAATGCCAGTCACTACAGAGTTCTGATCATTTTTGTTCGGGTTAGTTAAAGTTAATATTTCTCAATCATATATAAAAACTATATATGAGATTTTTATAAACTCATAATAATATTTCGAGTATATTACTAATATACAATACATAATACACATTTATAATATAAATTTTACAAACGGAATATGTAATAGTTAAATCGTATTGCGTTTGTCCAATCACTGTAAAACGGTCATCTTTTTAGTATTTTGCTTACTCTAATATTATGTTTATATTATAAAGATTATATTAGAGTAAACAAACTACTAGAAAGAAAACTGGTTTTCAGTGATTAGACGTCCAATCACTGTAAAATCAGTTGTCCGAACAAATGCAATATGATTTAAATACTACAAATAAAGTATACAAGTGAAGTATTTATATTATTACATTTTCAGGTAAACCTTCAAAACTTTTTGAAAGGACACACCCTGATTGGAACCCAACACTTATAATGGGCTATAAAAGAAAAAGTTTCAATAGCGAAAGATTCTTTTGAGTAAAAAAGCGACAACATAAATCTGGAATTATGAAAGCTGATAAAATAATAAATAATGAAGGCTGCACTGATATGAAAGAAAAAGTTTCAATAGCGAAAGATTCTTTCGAGTAAAAAAGCGACAACATAAATCTGGAATTATGAAAGCTGATAAAATAATAAATAATGAAGGCTGCACTGATATACTGACAGTGGCATCAATATTACCGGAAATAATGATGATAATGATGAAATTGATTTTAATATTGAACTAAATAGTATGAATGGTCTACCTCAAATTGACCTCTCAGCAAAAATAATTAAATCACTTAACAATAAATTGTTAGAAAAAGATAGCCTGATTTACCAGTTAAATAAAGAACTAAGTCTTAATAAAATTGGAACTATGGAATGGTTTGCTACCAATAACAAAGTGACATTTTATACTGGTCTAACAAATATGAAAATGCTTATGACATTGTATAACTTCATATGCAGTGATATACCCCATGTATCAAGATCATTGTTGTCGAAGTTCAGTAAATTAACCCTGTCTTTGATGAGATAACGTCCTAATTTAACCTTGAAAGATCTTGCCTATCGTTTTGAAGTTAGTAACTCAACAGTTTCTTCAGTATTTATTGAACTAACAGATGTCTTATTTATTTATTTACGTCAACTCATAAAATGGCCTGCACATGAACGGCTATGGAAAACTACACCTAATTGTTTTGGAAACATTTTGGTACAAAGGTAGTTACAATAATTGATTGTTTTGAAGTTTTTACACATAAACCTACAAACCTTTTAGCCAGAGCACAAACATTTTCAAGTTACAAACATCACAAACATTGTGTTACTCCACAAGGTGTTATTAGTTTTATTTTAAAGGCATGGGGTGGTAGAACTAGTGATAAGCATCTCACTGAAAATTGTAAAATTCTTAATAACCTGTTACCGGGGGATATTGTAATGGCAGATCAAGGTTTCAATATTGAGGAATCTGTTGCTGTTTATTGTGCCTCAGTAAAAATACCAGCTTTTACTAAAGGAAAACGACAGCTTGACTCAATTGATGTAGAACAAACACGTCATATTGCATCAGTGAGAGTTCATGTAGAACAAGTAATTAGAAATCTTAAAAATAAGTATACCATATTACAAGGCGTTTTACCATTAGATTATCTCATAAGAAAAGATAACAGTGGTTATTCAACAATTGATAAAGTTGCAATTGTATCATGTGGTCTAACAAATATGTGTGATTCTGTTATTCTAGTTGACTAAAACTAGTTTTTCAGTTGTTTTTTTTTTAAACATTTTTGCTTCCAACAAGGAACATTTTTGCTTCCAACAAGCTTTGTAGAGCAAATATTAAGAGACTATATTACATTAAGCTATTACATATATTTATATACAGATAAACCTTTGGAAACCAGGAAAGGAGGGTTCAAAGTTCTTGAGCACATTAATATTTTCAAAGTTTTTTTAACAAAGCCCTTGCTTTTAACTTAACCTTGAAAATTACCTACGAGAAGAAGCTTGAATAATGCCTTATGCTTCCTAATAAGATGTTATTAAATAAAATAAAAAAAAGATGAAATGAATTTTTTTCAATTAAAAGAGTTTAATAGGATTTCTAACAAAAATAGGATTTCAAACACAAACTATTACAGAAGCAATTCTTCCAATATACTATTGCATATTGGAAATCAGTTATTAGCTTCTATATCCTCCAAAATAAAAGTAGACAAAAGTACTCAGTAGACAAAAACAAACCACAATCCGAAATCTTCAATTTTCATGATGGGCACTAACAGCATCTGTGTAAATACTTAATGCTTTTTTCTCATTTTCCCGTAGCTTGTGTTGAAAAGCTATTAATGACAGGATAGCAAATTTTTTTAAACAAAGATGTTTGTTTATTCTGATTAGAATGCATTACGTTGTAAACATTTGATACAGTTATTCTGCCAGCACAATATAAAAACCAATTTTTGGATAGAGCTTGCTTTCTTGATAATTCCTTGACAGCTATTTGTTGTTCATCAGTAACTTGACTAAATTCAATGTTTTCACAGTGTTGACATAACTCAAAGTAACTAATATTTAATAAATTTGTATCATAAATATCAGATAAAATTTTTGGTAATAAGTTAGAATGTTGTTTTGGAATATAAATATCGTCATAAGGAGGTATTATAGATAAAATTGCAGGTTTAGAATTGCACAGACTCAGTTGTTTATAAAATATGTCGAGTTGTTTTTGTGAAGGTCCTTTATACTTTTCTAAACACGAATGTTTACTTTTTTTTATCAACAGCAGGTTCACTAGAAGTTGCATAGTTTTTTTAAGTTTGTCATTAAACTTTCTTTTAAGAGTATCTGGTGAAGTAAAGTTTATATCAACCACTTCAGTATAAGGCACTGATTTCAATGAAGCAGGCAACATCCAATAGACCTTTTCCTCAGTGACAGTTTTAGAGTCTCTAATTCAGACAGTTGCATCAATAAAAAAATAATAGAATAGCTCAAATGTGCGAACAAGATTCACCTAAGCCAGCCATACAGTTGCAGTGAGCAGATAATACATCACCATCCATATGGGCTATAATCCAGGTTAATGTTGGAGGTTCATTTAATCGTTGAGAATGCAAAACCTAAAATGAGATTTTATATATTACTAATATATTATATCTAATATTATTAGAGCTACATTACTTTTGCAAAAATTTATCAAAACAGGTTATGAAGATAATATGAAAGTCAAAATATTATATGAAGGCTTCATATACTACTTTGGCTTTCATATAACATTCATTGAAGGTTCCAATGAAACTATGCAAAAGATAAATAAAAAAGATAAGTAAAGTTAAGTAAAATTAAA